ATATTCTCTCTTTGAAACTTCTAAACAAACATTAGAAATCAAATGCCTTAAGGAAGCCTAATACTTTATCTCCTGTATGGCAAGGGGCATTGAAGAAGATCTCTGCTCTTTTCATATGTGCCTCTATCTCTTCAGTGTAACTGTTATAGAGGAACACAGGCTTTTGCAACAAGAGACTCTCCTTTCGCTGAAATCAAAATGCTTCTAAAACAGTGTGATTGGTTAAATAAATGATTATTTTCCAAACTAAGAACCCTTCCCATTGCTGCTGGGAGAATGGTGACAATCTAAAAAATTAAGTTTCCCTGATGAGAGTGAATGAGAGAGCAAGGTTTTGTGATCTGGGCTTTCTTGTTTTTAAGATTTCCCTCTGACATCTTTGAATATAAACAACATACCCTTGAATCTTAATTGTCAATTTTCTAAAAATAATGCAATTCAGGCATGTGTTGTGTGGCATGTCTGCTAAGTGGGTAAATATTTTGAAAGTAAACTATACCTTTATTTTCTAATGTTGTTTTCAGCTGAGAAACAGTCGTAGATAGATATTTTGCAGCTAAATATGAACGTACCGATGGCACGTCAAGTAAAAGAAACAGGATGGAGAGGAATGAGAGGTTACAGTGGTAGGCAGAGACTCAGGAAATGCTGGCTCTGCCACATGCTTCCTACATGGGAAATTGGCACAGGATTTTCAAAGGTGCCTTTTTCTGTCTCTTATTTGTTTAAATATTTTTATCCCGCCTTTCTATTTAAAATATTCAAGGCTGCTTACAAGAACAAACAAAAAAAAATACAAATATATATAAAAATTTAAAATATGAGAGTTTAATATATGAGACCTCTCTTGCCTGTCTAGGCCATGTCCACATGAAACTGAAGTTCGCCACTACTGTGAATGATCTTCCAGAGTTTGATTTAGTGAGTCTAGTTGAGACTCGATAAATCAAATTCAGAGGGCAGCCCTCCCAGCAGCCAGTACTCCTGCTTGTGCAAGGAGAAAGGGAAGCTGACAGGAGTGTTTGCTCTTGTTGGCCTCCTGCTGTGGGGATGGCAGGGAAATGTGAAACAGGGTATGTCAACTCCAGCTACATAATTAACATATGCTCCCTATCAGCGCCTTTTACCTGCCTGGTAACTCTGTCTCTTTTCTGTATGGTTTATGAGAAGCAGTCACATTCCATTTTCCTGGCTCAAACAAATCCTTACCATGTTTTATGTTGTTATAAGAGGAATCTGTATACCGAATGTGGTGGTCCTAGCTCTTACTGTTTAGAAGGAGTTCTTGAACAGATGGACAGACACACAGACAGAGAGACAACCTCTCTCAAATATATAGTAGATAACACCTAACTAAGGCTAGGTCTACACTAGACCTGGAAGGTCAGGTTAAGGTATGCAATTCCAGCTACATAAAATACATAGCTGGAGTTGGCTTACCTGAAGCTGAGCTTGGTTGATTGCTCCCATTGGCTTCCCTTACTTCTTGTGATGCCAGAAGTATTGGCACCAGCCAGAGCTGCCCTCAGCATTCGATTTAGCAGGTCTTAACTAGACCATCTAAATCAGACATCAGAAGATTGATCTCCAGTGTGATAAATGGAGATGTGTCCTAACTCACTCATTAGGGCCTTGATCTCAGTTGGTACCTGCAGGCACTACCATTATTTTTCTCATATATGCTGTGCTATGGGTAATGACACAGCTCTAAATGTTGTATGAGGTCTAAAGTTATATATGATGTCTCAGCATGGGGATAAATTGTTTTCCTCTGGTACGTATTGTTATGGCAAAGGTAACAAATGCATTGCACGTAGTAAGTGCTTTTGTATGTACCTTCAGCTGGACTCAGTTTTGAATGTAACAGTACTTTATTTAAGCTGTATACAGTAACATTTAAACCAAGTATTTCTTCAGTTGCTAAACTACAGTTGATTTGCTAACCATTTACTGCCATTAATTATTCATTCTTATTGAGAAGGAAATGTTTGTGTGGATGAAAGTGAGAAATAACCAACTATGATCCATTTTGCTTCCACCGAGCACAACATCCCTCCCGTGCTGGAGGCAGGTTGTATGCTCCAAAATTTGTGTGAGCGGAAGGGGGAAGCTTTCCTGCCAGCCTGGATGGCTGAGGCTGACCGCATGGCTGGACACTACGGGCAGCCCCGCACCGCCGCCGTCCGTGAAGCCCAGCGGGGGGCCCTCCGGATCCGGGAAGCCCTGCGGGAGCGCTTCCAGGTGGAGGAGGAGGAGGACTGACCTCTCCCTGCATGCCCCACCGGGGCCTTCTTCCACCCTACCCC